TAATTAACTCGTGAATTGTAATTCAAGTAGGTAGGTAATTCCTAAATTAAGACGATGTCATGCTAAACTATGCCCATCCCTAGAGATTACAGTATGCAGTGATTTTGTGGAGAGAGAGAGAGAGAGAGATGAGATATGGATAAACATTTGGATTTGCAATGACTAAAATGAGGTGTTTCAATGGACCACACAAAGGCATGATGAATAATAATCGTAGCAGGCACCACCTTTGTTCTAAGTTTGGACCACCTGCGCTGAGCTTCATTGGGTCTACAGGTGACATTAAAATTGGTAGACATCATTGTCTTTAGCTGAAAATAATCATGATGGAAAAAAGCTGAACTTGGACAATTTTTTTGGGAAAACTTTTACTTGCATTCAGATTTAGGGTTCCTGGCTAAGCTAGCCTAATATAAAAGCAGCTCTACGAAGCCTTGAAGTTATAACTATGGCGATTCGGGTAGGTATTTTTGTCAAAAAATATTCTATATATTCGTAATGCGAAGGACAATAATGACGATCGCATGCACGATGCATATCTAGGAAAACAGGAATGAAATTTCAACATGAATGGCAGATAGTGTAGAATGTAGATACAAAAGACAAAAGAAGATGCAATAATTCTAGTAAATTGGAGAAAAATATGCTGTACTATCGACTTTAATATAAGGCAACTACCATGCTATTCATAGCAACTTTAATGAGTTGATGAGTTTTACTACTCTACCATATTAATTTATTGCTATGAAGAATGTTTATGACATGGTTTTACGTACTTGGATTCGAGTCGAAACAAGAAATGTTGAAAATGAATCATAATCGCGATCGCTGATTCCAATTAAACTGTTTACTAATTATTATGAGAATAATGAATGATAATTGACTGGTGCATGAATATATTGCATTTCTGATCTCTTTTCTTGACATGTCTCTTTTGGATAATTGTCCTGAAAATTTATCCAGTAAGTATTCGGGCGTTAGTGAGGACTGGTGCATGATGGTTTTTCCGTAGTTGGTACTTTATGGGTCCTGCATATAATTTGGATTCGAAAGGCATGGGGACAAATACTTGAACATGATAGCTGGTTTACGAAAACTACCCAACTCATCGATCGATTTGCCTTTTACTGCATGGTAAAATTAGTAATTATGGATGCTCATAGATTTTTTGCCAAAAAGATAGGTGAGCGTGAGCTCGGGAGGCCAAGCCTTGGTAGGCCTAGCGGTACGTAGTGGTTAGGTGGTGCATATGGATCCCAACTCATAGTTTGAAATGTGATTCGAACTTGGAACCTGCTTCGATACTATTTATTGATCAAGTACGATTTTCTAACAAGTCGAACTTTTAAGAGTTTGATATCTCATCAAATTTTGGCAATGGGCAGTTAATTTTTAAATAGGTTTATCAAATTTTTATTTTTCTTTCTCCATTACAAGGAACTTGCCCATGCAAGAGTTATTTATACTAACACCTTTTGCGGTTTTCGGTGTTTTAAAAAAAAACCTCCTAAAGTTTCAAAAATTACACGAACACCCCTTGAGGTTTGAAATTGTTTTCACAAAACCCTTTTCTATTGATTTTTCATCTAAAGATTGATGATTTTATACAAATAATTTCTCCGAATGACAAAGTTAGCCTTTAAGATTGATTATATTGCAAATACATTCATTGAGGTTAATTTTGTCATTTGCATAAGTTTCTTTTATAAGATCATCATTTTTTGGACGAACAATTAATGAAAAGGGGTATTGTGAAAACAATTTGAAACCTTAGGGGGTGTTCCTGTAATTTTTGAAACCTCAGGAGATATTAGTGTAAATAACTCTTCTGAAGTTTTATTTGGACACTTTATTACAACATTCTTCTCATCTGGAAATATGATACAATGCAACTCATCAGACTGATGAAAGCTACAATCTCAAAAACAAACTGCCTAATAAAAACAAGGAGTAATTTTGAAAAAAAGGAACTGCGTGTAAAAGTCAAAATGAACGAGTTTGGCAGCACTGTGCTGCACATGGTAGACAAAGAGGTACGCGAGAAAAACTTATTGTTGGAAGGACCATATATTTCTTGAAATCATGCATCCCCTTTCTCTCAGAAAAATTTTATTAGTTGTAGACATTATGAAGTAACTAAATGCCTACAGCCAAAGGGAGAGGCCAACGGATCCTTAGTTCAATAGTAAGAGTATTTCCCTTTTGATTAATCGTCTTAGGTTCGAAATCCGATGACATGTTCCCTTCCTCCAACTTCAATGACATCTTCCCTTCATCCTTCCAGCGCAAAAAGAAAAAGAGGGGAGAAAAAGGAAAAAAACGACAATTAGTTAATGATTCAGGAGGGGTGGCTTTCCCATTGAGAAGCAAGAGGTCGGCATATGGTTTTTCTGGCTGTGGGGTACATGTCGCATCCTCTCTTTTACTTCTTTTTGTAGTATAAGGCTGTGAAAAAAACGAGTTACCCAGAGAAGAGAGTTTTCATAAGCATCACCGTATTCCCATCAAAGAAAAAGAAAAGTGGTGCCTCCAACGGCTTAAAATTCTAATAGCGTTTCCATCAATAGTAATCGATATCACTTCAAGAGTACGTATAGTGTTTAGGACAATCGTCGACGTGCACGTAGATATCTCCCGATTGTTGATATAAATGAATCTCACAATGAGGTTCACACGAACTAAACCATTAAAAATCACTTACATGAGTGTGTTGTCGTTATTAGGATTTCTTTTCACATAACTACCAAAAAAGCACCACTCATAAAGAAGCCAAGCGAACATAAGATGGGTGGTGGTCTTGCTAAGCTTTGCATTGAGGGTATGGCACCAAAGACGACGCTTTGATTAGAATTATTAGTGTCAAATTAATTATAACAACACACTCTCCTTGAATTGAAATTCATCCAATAATCTTATTAATTCAACAGAAACACAAATGAATTGGGATCAAGGGTCAATTTCTCTAGGATAAGCCTAGCAGACAATTTTATTGTGCTGGGGGCCTTGAAATTGACTGGTGGTTCCATTGATTTTGACAACCTCATCACACATGCACTACGTTTGCTTCTTTTGACAAACACAAGGGCCCTTCAGAGCTTCTTTACAGCTCCATTTTTTCTAAGTGCAAAGTCTTCTCAATAACTACTCCTAAAGTCTCTTTTTTCATGAGTGTAAAAATGCTTTCTCCACTTTCTACACAATTAAATTATTAATTAACTATTTGTTTATCTAAAGCTGTGATTAAAGAATAGGATTTGCTTCATCACCCCATTTGTCAAGCTTCAATCTCCCTCAGTGTTGGAAAATTAAAGGTGTTGCAATCACTACAATTGACCCATTGTCACTAACACGATCTACTACCTGGTTTTATCAATTTCTCAGCGTGCCGTCCACGTATCATATAAATAAAATAATATGTTAGAAGCCAAAGTAGAAAACAATATTTTTCTATACTTAGCCTATGATTGGAAGGCCATCAACTTTATAATGTGAAATCTGATAGATTGCAACTCTTGCATGCTCTAAGAGCTGAGCCAATATCTTAAATTATTAGTAGGATAATTAATTCTATCTTGCTTCATTAGGATGAATTATTAAACACAAAATACAGTGTGAGTGAGTGTGACTATGTGACCCTTCCATTTAATTTAATTTTTATACCAAATGGTGCATTGTGAAAGTGGAGTCCATGCCACCAGAGACCAAAGTGGTCTCTATTGAAAGTTCAAAGAACCTAAATTTAATGATTTTTTTTGTTATTTTTATTTTTATTTTCCGGAGAAAAGCGAACTTTATTCAATTTCACTATTAATATGCATTTGGTATATTGGTATTTTTGTACATCAAAGTGTCGCAACATATACTCTCTCTCTCTCTCTCTCTCTCTTTTTGGGGGAATATAAGCTATATTGAGGAAGATGAGTTTTCTCATACACATTGCGAAGATGCAATGAAGGTTCGAACATAAGATTACTGATCTACATATAAAAGCCGTTTTTAACTAGGGTAGACACTGCAGTCTCAACATATATTCTGTTTAAATGGTTTTTGTTTTCGGTAATTATAAACTGTCAACTAAATGGGAAAGCAAAGGCCAAAGAATAGACCATGGGCCTACAAATTTAAAAAGAATTAAACGCTCAAGGCTCAATTCTTGAATACTAAGTTTATATAGGACTAACAAATATACAAGTTAATTTAAAACTCCATTATTCCATACTCCAACAACTATACATATGAATTGAAAATAAATCTCAAAACATGGATGTTCATAGTAAATCAAAAATAGAATAAAATATTATATCAAGTATTTGGACCCATTTTTACATGGACTTAGGCTGAGTGAAAAATAAAGGATACAGAGCCCAAAACGGCCCAAGTAAACGAGATTGGGTCACAATTTAAATAAGCACGTGATCCATCATTTGGATTTGGCTATTTAGCCCAGAGGTTCTACACTGGAAAGAATGTCGGCAGGATTAAGAAACTTAAAAATTGTCAAATTTAAACCTTATAAATGCAAGGAGGTGTCACCTCCTCTTGTCAGAAAAGTCTTGGGAGGCGCTGCATGTTGCACCTTTGGTGGTGCACTCAAGATGTTCGACGAATTGCCTAAACCAAGCTTGTCTTTATGTTCTACGTGCAGTGCACCTCTTTGTTTTTTTAAACATCATGATCAAAACGACATCATTTTGGATCAAGCTTAAGAAAAAAAAGGAGAAGCTTAGGGGGGGTGTATTGAATTGAGATTTTAAAAGACTATTTATGGATAAATAAGTCCAGTGAATTTTAAAGGACTATTTAGAAATGTAATGACTTATAAAAAAATTTTAAAAGATTTTTATAATCAAGATTTTTTACGTTTGGATTTTAAAAGATTTATATCATAAGAATTTATAAGATTTGAAAGGACCACATGAATTTTTTACTTTTATGATGCTAACCAACCAACTTATTAGATGATGAGCAATGGCAATAGTTCAATAGTTCAACCAAATTATTCAATAACAAAGAAATGATAATTTTAATAAAGAAAAGTAAAACCCAATACAATTTTTCCAATCTTTTAATAGCCAATTTGATGTAGCTTCATGTCCTCCTAAGTAGCAATTTCTCCACATATCTAAAGCTATGCTAGCCCTCCACGCATTAGCATCTTCTCGTTGCTGCTCTTGGGTTTGAACAATAGGTTCAAAATTATCTTCTTCATTAACTGGTAATACTGAAGATGAAGATTCGTCTATTGGTTCAATTGGAAATTCATCATAACGACACTCTTTGCAAAGAAAGTTATGTAGTGCTACACATGCTAACATAAGCTATGCTTGTGTCTTAAAAGGAAATGGAGGCGCTGACTTAAAAATTGTGAACCGCGATTTAAAAATGCCAAATATCCTCTCGATCACATTCCTCAAGGACGCATGGCGAAGATTGAATAATTCATTTCCATTTCGAGGGTTATTACCATGACCTGTAAAATCTTGAAGATGATATCGCACACCTCGAAATGGAGTTAAAAATTGGTGCCGATTAGGAAATCCACAATCCACTAGGAAATATTTACCTAATTATATATACAATACATATAAAATTAGTATGAAAAGTTTGAAAAAAAAAAAACTTTTTTATCATTTAAAAAATAAGTACTTACCTTGGGCAACTTTAAGTCCATTCCTCCTTGATAAAGCATCACTTAGTAGCTTGGAATCATGAGCTGAACCCTCCCAACCGCTAAGAACGTACATGATTTCCAAATCAAAGTTACAAGCTGCTAATACATTTTGTGATATATTTCCATGACGATTACGATAACTGCTTACATCCCGTCCCCTCACCATTGCCGGAATATGTGTACCATCAATAGCTCCGATGCAATCCTAAAATTATTCATATATAACAATAACCATATTATGAAAAGTACATATTATAGTAATGACAATTATAATTAGATAATTATCACATACCTTGAAATAAGGGTAAAACCTTGTGCTTTCCCTTATTTTAGAGGGCACAGCTGGTCCTGGTTTAGCCATCAAATCAGATGCTATTGAATTCAAAGCCTTCAAAATCTTGTGAAAATTTTCACATGCAGCAAATTGTGATCGGCCAAATGTATTACGAATTACACAATATCGAGTATTTTGGCCGACGATTTGTAGGAAAGATGCAAGCATTTCTTCAACACAAATATATCTTGTATCCTCCAAAAGTGTTTTTTCTCTAAGAATAGTGCATAACTTCCGGAATATACATGGATACAAGGGCGGAACTACATGTAGGCTCTACTGGGCTCCAGCCCAGTGCTGTTTTTCTGTTTTCCACATATAAGCTTAGTTTACCAGCCAAATTATGGTAAATCAAATATTAGCCCACTGCTTTAGGTACAAATAAGCCCACCAATGCAACCAATCTCTACACCACAGACACCTCTTCAAACAAACTCTACACGTGTTGGTTCATGATTTAATGGGAAAACATTTTGTGATTTTTGCCGACGTTTCTAGCACAAAAGAAACCAAATTATAATTAAAAAAACTCTAACATCTATCAAGCTTATATAAAATATAATTTTTTTAAAAAAAAACTCTAACACTTTCCTCTTTTCTTTCACCCTTTTTAATTTTTTTAATTTTAATGTTTCTCCTTTTCTCTATTAATTTTTCTTCATCTCCTCTTTCCTTTATCTGATTATTTCCTTCTCTTTCAGTTTCTCCCTCTGTTTAAACTTTCATGAATTCGTAGGTGTTGACAAAAAAATCATGGGAAATACGTTCTTTTGGGGTCAATTTCATCTTGGTATGGATTGTGGGTATTGTGGTTTTACGATCAAGCCAAGATGAGTGATGGCGAGGCAGATCTGCCGCCATGACCAAAAAAAAATTTAGCCCACCCCTACAAAAGTTCCTGGTTCCGCCATTATATGGATACATTCTATATACTTGTCGGAAGATTGTAGGATCATCGTTCAATGCTTGATGTATATAGTCATATCCAATGCTAATAATTCGCCGTCGAGTTAATGGACGTTCGATATGTTCACCATGCATCATAATCAGAAACTGATTTAGCACATGCATTAATGCATAAATTGCCATCACGGATATGTACATGGCTTCATAAAATTCTTCATCTATTTCTTCATCATCCATATCTTCATCCATTTCATCTTCACCTATTTCCTCCTCATCAATTTCTTCTTCCTCCATGTCATTACCTTCATACATGCTCGGTTGTGACATTATACATATATAAAATAATATACGAGACTGCAAAACAATAAAAAGAAGAAAATAAAAGCTGTGAAAAAACTAAAAACTGTCCATGTGTAAAAGCTGTCTTTCTCTTTATGTATGTGAAAAAAACTATAATATGTATGTAAAAAAACTAAAAGCTGTCCATATAGGAAATTAACTTTAGTTTCATTAAGACAAATGGTCTTGCCGTTAATTTTGTTAACTTTTCTGTTAAATGCATGGGCAAAATGGTATTTTTGTATCAAAATATGAATAAAAAATTAAAATTAAACTCTCTCTCTCTCCCCCTCTATCCCGATTTCTACTCCCCCCAAACTTAATTTTTTTTTTGTTGGTTTTTTATTTGATTTTCTTTTATTGTTATTTTAAAGATATGATTTTTTTTATTCATTTTTTTGGTTTTAATATAAAAATACCATTTTACCCTTGCATTTAATAGAAAAAGTTAACAAAATCGACGGTAGGATCATTTGTCCTAACAAAAGTGAAGTTAAAAGACCACGGGAACCATTTTGGAAATTGAGGTACTCAAATGCAAATCGAATCTCAGTTCAGGGACTAATAAAATGATTAACCCAACATTCATATATTGGTTTCCCTTAGCTAGGTTTGAAAGCCATTGAACTACACAACTTTTAAATCATAACCATAATACTTCAACATCAAAGCTTAATTCTTGATTGTTACAAACCAGTAACGAAGTTTGTAACAATTATAACCAATCAAGATGCTGGTAAAGTGCTTCAAGTCACACAACCACTTTTTCTTTTTCTTCTTACCAAAAAAAAAAAAAAAAGAGAGAAAAGAAAATTGCTTTGTTGAAGCTGAGCCCCTATTTTGACAAAGTTATATTCGTATTCTCCCATGAATGAATAATGTGATGAAAGTTCTTCGAACAACCTCCTCCACCTCCACCTCCACCTCCACCGACCAAGTAATCCTCTGAAAAATTCATCAAGGCATCCCTTTCTTAAAGTAGGAGGACCAATATGACGGCCGGAAATCAAAGGCAGGAACATAATTTAAAGGACTCTATTGAAATGAATTAAAAGTCAGGAATATATGCTCATATTTAATTAATTAATAAGGCATAAGTTTACATGGTTGGCAGCAGAGAATATAACATAAAACCTTTAATAATTTCAATCGTCTGAGAGACTTGATTGAAACATCAGATTATGGTATGAAAAGATTCAGTTGCCTCAGTGAGATGATATCTTGAAAGGAAATGATTTGTTCAGCCATGCCTTCCAGCTACTAACTGATCCCTTTGGAGCTGTCATCTCTGGCTTTCTCTCTGTAACATTCTGCACTGCCCTCTGCTTCTTGCTCAGCACAAAGTTCCTTACCCCATGAGATCCTATTCTTTCCCATGGACTTAAGGCTACAAGTTATATATAAAATTAAAATGTAATTAACAGGCCTATTAATTAACAATAAAGTGAATATATGTTATTCCAAACAAATCACAGTTTGACATGTATGCGTAACGACGTAGATTTTAACACATGAACCCGAAAGAATGAATCATTTTTTTATTGTACCGTCGGATCCTGCGTTAGCACAGTAGAGAAGGAAATCCTTGACATCGGAACCAAGAAGTGGTAGGCGGCCTTCACGAGCATAGGACTTGAGAGCAGTGTCGATGACCCCAGCAACGAGATCATCTTCATTCACCACAAACCTTATTGGCCCTGAGCTTCCAACTACATTCACTGTGATCAAAAACCTGTTTTTCTTCACACTGTGAACTTCATTATTGTTGATCTTCGTATGCTTTTGCTGTAACGTAGTTCTCTCTAAAACATTCCTCCTCTTCAGCATTCTTTCTTTCTGATTTTTTTTTTTTTTTTTTTTCCAAACACCTAAGTGAAATCAACCCAAACAAGAGACACACAGCACAACACAAATGAACTTTCAGAGAGAGAGAGAGAGGAATTAAGTGTTCAGGGGGTCAAGGCCAAGGCAGCGAGGGTACCAGGCCTGTTTGCAGGAACCAAAGGTGGTGGAGGAAGAGGAGAAGGAGGAGGACAGCGCGCGAAGGGAACGCGCAGAAGTCCTCTGAGGAAGGAAAGGAAGGAAGTGCATGAAGGAACAACAAATCTCTACCACTCAAGACTCAAAGGTATTTCACAAGAAGAGGGAAATAAATTTGTGAAAGAAGAATATCTTCAGCGGACATGGAAGGCTTCGTGTCAAGTATGACAACTTCCGTTTAAGTTGTTATACAATGTAAAGAAAGGAAGCGAATCCTCAGATTTCCACGCACTCCTTGGGAAAGAAATTGCGTGTCACCCTAATACAATGGCAAAGTGATGATATTAATACATGTGTTATAATATGATCACGTTAAAAATTACATTTAAAATATAATATTAACAATTATTCACACATATTCCTGTAAATAAAAATTATTCACACATGTGAATTTATTTGCAGTCTTGAGTTTTTTATTTAATATAAGCGATAGTCTAAATTATAAGGAAAATGAGTTTCTTATACACACATTAGCAATGTGTCATGGAGATTCAAACATGAAATCACTGATATATATAAATTTTGTTTTGAAAAAAAACTGAATAAATGTCTCATACTCTTTAATTTTATTTAGTTTTTGATACATTCAATAGTAGGAGAGGGGGAATTCAACATAACATCTCAAATGTAAAGGCAAATACGACTAACCACTTGAGTTACAAAGTTTCTTACAATTTCTTGCACTCTTGAGGGAGAATTCAACATAACATCTCAAATGCAATATGAACTATTACCTTTATTATTTACAAAGATATATTCATATAAACTTCAACCGTCAAGGTTTATTTATATATTTATGTTTTTATAAATATCAATTTTTACTTTCCATTATTTCCTATTATTACCCTCATATGAGAATCCTTCTAATTGATTTACTAGAATTTCAGCTCTAGGGGTCATAAATTTTCAAAGGAAAATGAGTGAAAAATCAAGCTCATAAATTTTTTGTCACACAAATAATAACAGAGCCAGACATAAGGGAGAAAATGGGACTTATGACAACATGGGAATTACGCTACAGCACAAGGCCGACTAACATTGTTATTGGTCAGTCATATTGGATATACCAAACCCAGACCTGTACGTATTGAATTCTAGCCCAATTCTTTTCTCAAGCCCAAATTTTTTGCCCAATTTGTTACATTTTTTTTTTCTGGCCAAAGTTAGGAAGGGGTAGGGGGAAAACTCATATACACGGGTACCGTGGGGTTTCGAAACCAATATCACTTAGGAGCACATCAAAGACCTGAGCCAATCCAACTAACACCCCATTGGTATGAATATTTACATTCAGTAACATTAAGTTAAGCTAGAATTAAAAATAAATAAAACACAAATGGACTACTAGTTATTGAACATTGCATGTGTAACTAAAGAAAATGGTCTATGTATGTGTCAAATTGCAATTTGTATGTAAAATGATGACTCATGTGTAACTATGTAAGGAGTCAAATATTTTCTTCGAGAGCGCCCTCCCTTAAGGAGTCAATGCCAAATGGTGGCCATTGCATGAACTTTCATTAGCTCTTTATCTTTGTTGAACGAATGAATATTTGGGATATTTATTTTTGGACATATTTATTCATGAGTCGAAAAATGTTGAAAGTTTCATTATAGGCAACAGCCAATGATGAAGTATGTAAGTGGGTTACACGTACAATTTTGCTTCTAGAATTTATTTTCTGAGTTTAATTCAAGAATTTATTTTATTATATATCTTGTGAAACAAGTCCAGAAAGAAC